TATTATTATTATGATTTTAGTTAAAAAATCAACTTTATTTGCATACAAAAATACTTTTTTTATTGTACTTTAGGTTCTGGGGAACATGCGCAGATCATGCAGGATTGTTGCATAGGTACACACATGGAAATGTGGTTTGCTGCCTCCATTCCCCTGTCGCTTACATCTGGCATTTCTCCTGAAGTTATCCCTCCCTGACCTCCCCATCTCCCCACTCTCCCTCCCTTAGTCCCTGCCAACAGACCCCAGTATGTGATGCTCCCCTCCCTGTGTCCCTGTGTTCTCATTGTTCAACACCCACCTATGAATGAGAACATGCAGTGATTCATTTTTTGTTATTGTGTCAGTTTGCTAAGAATGATGGTTTCCAGATTCATCTGTGTCCCTACAAAGGACACGAACTCATCATTTTTTATGGCTTCATAGTATTCCATGGTGTATATGTGCCATATTTTCCTTGTCCAATCTGTCATTGATTGGCATTTGGGTTGGTTCCAGGTCTTTAATAGTAAACAGTGCCGCTATGAACATACGTGTACGTGTGTCTTTATAAAAGAACGATTTATAATCCTTTGGGTATGTACCCAGTAATGGAGTTGCTGGGTCAAATGGAATTTCTATGTCTAGGTCCTTGAGGAATTGCCACACTCTCTTCCACAGTGGTTGAACTAATTTACGTTCCCACCAACAGTGTAAAAGTGCTCCTATTTCTCTACATCCTCTCCAGCATCTGTTGTCTCCAGATTTTTTAATGGTTACCATTCTAACTGGTGTGAGATGGTTTTTCAATGTGGTTTTGGTTTGCATTTTTCTAATAATCAGTGATGATGAGCATTTTTTCATATGTTTGTTGGCCTCATATATGTCTTCTTTTGAAAAGTTTCTGTTCATATCCTTCACCCACTTTTGGATGGGTTTGTTTGTTTTTTTCTTGTAAATCTGTTTTAGTTCTTCGTAGGTTCTGGATACTAGCCCTTTGTGAGATGCGTAGATTGCAAAAATTTTTTCCCATTCTGTTGGTTGCCGGTTCACTCTAATGGTTGTTTCTTTTGCTGTACAGAAGCTCTGGAGTTTAATTAGGTCCCATTTGTCTATTTTCGCTTTTGTTGCCAAGGTTTTTGGTGTTTTAGTTATGAAGTCCTTGCCTATGCCTATGTCCTGAATGGTTTTGCCTAGGTTTTCTTCTAGGGTTTTTATGGTGTTATCAATGATTATTTTATTATTGTTCTTTCTTACTTTGAATATTTGTGCTTTCTCCCCGTTTTCCCCTTAATCAAGTTAGATTGTGGTTTGTACATCTCGTTAATTTTTTTCAAAACAACAACTGGGAGTTGGTTTGTTAATTATTGTACTGCTTTTATATTCTCTTTGTCACTAATTTCTGCTTTAACTTCATTATCTCCCTCCTTTATTTGGTGGGCTTTGTTCTTTTTCTAGTTTTTAGAGTTGGAAATTTAGTATTTTTTTCAGTGTTGTTATTAAATGTGTTTAGTGCAATGATTTTCCTCTGATTAGTGCTTTAAATGCATCCCTTATGTTTTGATATGTAGTATTTTCATCATTCTTTAAAAATTGTAATTTCTATGTCCCACAAGAATTGTTTTAATAGAACATTTTTAACTTTCTCCGCAGAAGGACCTTTCTGTTCTTTGTTTTTCTCAGTAATTTTCTAGCTTGATTGCATGGGCAACAAAGAGGTTTTTGTATTTAAAAATATTTCTACTTTACAGAAGTTACTAATCGATATGGTATGAGTATTTGCCCCCTTCAAGCCTTATGTTGAAATTTGAGCTCAGTGTTGGAAGTGGGGCCTGGTGGGAGATGTTCGGATCATGGGGGCAGATCCCTTCTGAATGGCATGGTGCCATCTTTGCGGTAATGGGTTCTCACTGTGTTAGTCCCTGCAAGAGCTGTTAAAAGAGCCCGGTGCCTCTGACTCTCTCACTTCTTCTCTTGCCACGTGACCTCAGCATGTCTTGGGTCCCCGTTGCCTTCCCAAACAAGTGGGCGCAGCCTGAGGCCCTCACCGGACACTGAGTGGATGTTGGTGTGTGCCTCCACATGCACAGGCTGCAGAACCATGAGCCAAATCAACTGTTCTTTGTAAATTGGCTGGATTGGAATCCTTGGTTTACACTTTTTTCATTGACTTATTTTTAAAAATGCAGCTCCATTGTCATTTTGTTTATATGTTGATTTTGGAAGACCTGATGTCAGTTTGATTGTTTTGCCAGTGGCTTTGATGATTTTATTTTCTTCCTTGAAATCTTACAGTTTTATTAGAACATATATCAGAGATTTTAGTTTTAAATATTAGCTTCACTCCACTATTCTGCTTTTCTTCCCTAAGGACTCAATAAACAAATACTATTCCTTCATTACCTGTGTTCCATTTCCACTACTGTCTCTGAACTTTTAATTTATTTACTTATTCATTTTTATTCTCTCACTTGCTTGGGTATCTTATTTAGTGACCCTTGTTATATTTTCATTTTTGTCTATTGGGTTTTGGGAATCTTTTAATTTATTTCTCATTTCTTTTGTAAAATGATTTCTCTGAGTACATAATAGTTGAGTATTTATGGGGGACATGTGATATTTTGATACAGTAGTACAATGTGTAATGATGAAATCAGGGCAGTGGGGTATCTATAACCTGAAACGTTTATCGTTGTTCGTTTTGGGAACGTTCCAAGTCCTTTCTTCCAGTTATTTTAAGTATACAGTAAGTAACTGTTAATTATAATCACCTAGAGTGCTATCAAACACTAGAACTTATTACTTCTAACTAACCGTATTCTTTGTACTCACTAAACAACCCCTTATTTCTAAGAAAACTTTGTTACGTCGTCCTTGTGTTCACTCAGCTTTTTATTTCTCCCTGTTATTTGCCTGTTTCTGTTTTTAAATGTCTGCTTTAAGGTGGGTTGTATTTTTAATGCTTGCTTGAGGCTTGAACATGGCGGATTCATTCACTTTTAATGCTTGCCTGGGCGTGGCAAGTGCACGTGAAGTGTGGGCTTGCAGTTTTCTTCTCCATGCTTCACGGTTATTTTCAGCAGGGATTTTCCTCAGCTGATGTGTGTGACATTTCCGCTCCTGATAGCGTTTGCACTGGCTCTGTAGGTGTGACTTTGCTTTCCTCTTGTTCATTTCATGCTGTGGAACTTGCTTGTTTCTTGGGATTCCTGGCACTCTTCTGGGGGCAGAGTACAGTGCCTCTGACTCCTGCCCTGCAGAACCCTGCTTTTACTTCCTTTTCTACTTGACCAGGGTTGCCCAAAGGAGCTTCTCTTCCTCTTTGCCTTTTCCTCCCCAAGGCTGCATGCTCCCAGAGGGGGCCTTCCGGTGCTCCTGCCCCTCCCACAGTGCCTCCCAGGGCCCTGTTCCCCCTGGCCCCTCCTGGTGGACCTTCTCATCACCTCAGCACCTGCTCTGTCTTCCCTTGGGGCTTTCTATTTGCAGTAAAGCTTTGTGCCTGGGACAGCAGTGAGAGAGAGAGCAGGCTGGGGATTTGGTGGTATTTCCTCTTTTCAGTTCAGATAGTTTGCATTTTTGGTGTTCTCTACCTTCAAATCATGTGGAAGGCATGGATTTGTGTAGATTTTACTTTTCCTTTCTTGTTTTTTTCTATCTTCTGGGAGGAAATTTTGGGACAGAAGCAGTTATACCAATGCCATTGTCCTCAGCTGTCCATGTTGCCAATTTCTTTTCTTTTCTTTGAGATGTAGTCTTGCTGTCACCTAGGCTAGACTGTATTGGTGCATTCTTAGGTCACTGCAACCTCTGCCTCTTGGGATTCAAGCGACTGTCGTTCTCGTGCCTCAGCCTCCCGAGTAGCTGGGATTACAGGCGTGTGCCACCATGCCTATCTAGTTTTTGTATTTTCAGTAGATACGGGGGTTCTCCATATTGGCCAGGCTGGTCTCAAACTCCTGACCTCAGGTGATCAGCCTGCCTTGGCCTCCCAAAGTGCTGGGATTACAGGTGTGAATCACCACACCCAGCCCCATGTTGCCAATTTCTAAAAGAGAACCACTGCATGTCGGTCAACAAAGTGGGCTGTGGTGGCCACAGGCCAGGTCCAGGGAGATTTCGGAGTCTTACCCAGGCAGACTTAAGGAAGTGGGGGGAGCTGGGAAGACGAGTGTGCCTAGGCTTCCTGGCCTTGTCTTCGTTACTTTGCAACTTGATGTTCCCTGGTTTGTACTGGAGTATCCCCAGGAGTTGGGGCAGATAGACTGTTGGCAGCAGAAGGGACTTTACACATCTAACCAAACCTGCTGATCAGTGAGGGGCTGAGCCGCACGCTCCCCTCCCTGTGTCAGCCACGCACGAGCCAGCCCAGGTGGGACTGAGCTCCGCCTTCTTCTCTGGAGGCTGCCGTTCTCAGCCACCCTGCACCTCCTTCACAGAGTTCCCTGAAATTGCCCTGCTCCTGGGCCAGGGATGTGCCTCACACTGCACTGTGCAGTGCCCCCATCCTCCAAAGATCAGCTTGAAGCAGGCGCGGCAGGGAACAAACCTCTCGAACACTGAACTGAGGAAAGAAGTGGCTTTTATTTGGCTGAGAGCTGCGGGGGTGCTGTACAGCCTCATTCACTGAGCTCCTCGAGCTGCAACTTCTCTTACAATGCTAAAGGGGAAACCGAGGTGGAACTGATGCTAAAGGGGAAACTGAGGCGGAACTGTCATTGTCCATTTGCTGGACGTTCGACCTTACAATCTTTTGGCTTCATTGATTTGCTAATTCATACGCAGCATGAACAGGAACCAGCAGGGGAGGAGACTTACCAGACAAGACAAAAGCAATAAGCTGTTTGTTGGCAGAGGTGTTTCCAGGAGGGAGCCTGGTCTGTGGAAATATGGGGGCGTGGCCCAGTGCTGGGCTCCAGCCGGCAGGATTAACGTTCATTTCAGGGATGGCAGATAGCAGAGACACTGGGAACTAAAAGGGAGTCATTTTCCCAGCTCTTTGGTAATTTATTTCATTTTTTTTCCCTTCTTCACCCTCCTTCCCATCTGGAAGGTGGGGAGGGAGGAGGTGAAATGAAAGGAGGCGAGGGGGTCTCCCCTCTCAATCTGAGCATCTTTTCTGGTTCCCTTAGGCCCCAGCATGGTAGGGAGGCCCTTCTCTGTCCCCCAGCACTCCCAGCTAGCAGCACTGCTCACTTCTGCCCCGTCCACCGGAATCTGCAGCAGTGGCCTTGTGCCGATCATCCTAGGGGCTGGGCCCGGTGGATTCCGGAGTGCGTGAGGGAAGCTGAGCAACATGCTTGGTGCTGGGACCTCGTAGGACGGTGTCTCCACAAAGGCTCAGAGGCAAAAGGAAATGAGAACCAGAGCTGTGACTTGGGTTCACTGGGAAGCTGAATAAAGGGAAAGGCGAGTATTTAAACCTATCTGAAGGCGTCATGTTAAATGTAATGTTTTCTTGACAAATACCCAGCACACTGCATTGTTTTTAAAAATCCCCTCATTAAAAGTGAAGATCAATTTCTTACATATGGAAGAGTTTCTGTGCTACATGGTATTCTAGTGAGAAAAAAAGAAAAGTGACTTACAGTACTATACAACACTATCACATGAAATATTCATGTAAAAATTCTTTTAGAACAGGAAGACAGATTCTTAAAGGTAAGCAATACTATGCAGATATTAATATTTAATTCCTGAGCATGAGAGAGTGAGCCAGGGCAATGTGAGTGCCATTTGTCCAGAGATGAAAAACCAGGGCCTGGGACTCCCAGGCCTCAGGGCCATCACGGAAGACCTCAGCCTGGCTCTCTACCCCGCTAGGCCGCAGAGACTCGCTCCTGGGGGATGGAGGGCGGGATGCCCGGGCAGAGGGGAATTCCAAGCTCCTGGTGGAAGCCGGGACTTTCTAGGGTTCTCTTCACAATAATAGAAAGTGCCTCCTGGGCAACAGAGCAAGACTTTGTGTGGCGGGGTGCAGGGCGGGGTGGGGGGGGCGAGGAAACTGCCTCCTAGCGAGTGGGTGGGGGTTGGAAGTTACTTCAGTCCTCACTTCCATCTCCAAGGTGACACTTTAGCCAGGCCCCCTACACAGGTGTCCTGGAGCGGGACAGGTGGCTGGCGGTTCCCGGAGAGGAGGGCAGCTGTGGGCCTGGGGAGGCACCTCCGTGCTGGACTCGGGTTTTGGAGCACAAGATAACAGCTGTGTGAGAAACGGGGTGAGGATGGACGGTGTGGCACACATGCCTGCCATGAGGGTTCCTGGCTCAGGTGACAGAGGGGAGTTACTACAGCCCTGGGGAGATGGGGTGCAGGAGCACCGGGACCCTGCGGCTCTCAGGGGCACTGAGGGCTCCTTTCCTTCCCCTTGGTCTCCTTCCTTTCGGGGTGGCTGCCCCTGGCGGCCTCCCTGACTGGGGTGCCCTGTGGGAGCTCTCAAGGGATCAAGGTCAGGGTGGAGGATGTGAGCTCTGCAGGTCACCCAGCCAGCGCCCACGTGCTCTGGTGCCAGCCAGGGACGTGTGTGTGAGTCAGCATGACCCGGAGGAACACACTGTGCCCAGAACACTCTGACTGTCTGTCTGCACCTGCTGCCTCCCCAAAGGCCAGCTCCACTGCACTTCTGGGTATGGTGCAATCTCCTTGTGCCGACCCCACCCTGAAGAGTCACTCCCCCAAAGCCTTTCCTAAATCTCCTAAGCCCCTCTGTTTCCCTGCTGGTACTTCACACAAGCTGTTTGTGTGAGGGGGACTCGCCAGAGAGGGACAGTCACCACCAGGAGAGGCCCCTGAGTGCCCTGGGAACCTGGGACCCAGTGTGTGCTCGGAAACGTTGGAGGAGTGTGAGATTTACCACAGGCTTGGTGTGATATCTTCTGTTTCTTTTTAAGTTAACCAAAACGACCCAACAACTGGATTTCTTCACATCTACCAACTTATACTTTACTTTGGGAAACAAGAAAGCACTCAGAAATAAATTTAATTAGTCAATCTGTAATTATGGTACGAATAAGTTCCATTTAAATGTAATGTTCCAAGCATGATAATTTGTTGAGTAAATCAAACCATTGATACATCTTAATGTTCCTAAAGTTAGGAACTCATCTAAGCTTCATAAAAAGAGAGCATTTTATGCATTTCAGTTTTCCCCAGAAGTCCCTCTTTGTTAAAAATAGAAAAAAACAGTTTTTCTTTCAAAATTAGCTGATATTCTGTGCCTAGAAGAAATCAGTGGGGTTTCTCAGGCTTTCCGCGAGGCGGTTCATGACTGCATCCTGTCCAGCTGGGAAATTGCCTGATCATGGAATTTCCATCAGAGGGAGCACTAGAGATTATTTAATCAAATCCTTTCTATGAACAAATTTTGGTGGTCAGATGAGTCGAATGGCACCTCCCCTCCCCCCTCGCAGAATCCCTCTGGTCACAGTAGCTTTGTTGGCAACCCTGCCCCTCAGAACCCCCTGGCTCCTTGGCGGAACACACTGAAGCCGCTTGTCCCCAGCCTCGCCCGGTTGCCCTGGATACTCCAGGTGAGCAGCTGTGACCTGCTGTCCCTCAGGGGCCCACATCTGGAGACTTATGCATGTATTTCTCTGTCATTTAATAATCGGTGCAGCGTTACATTGTATGTGGGTAGGCTATCATCAGCTTTCTCCTTCAGTTGATATTGAGGTTATACTATGTTTTTTCCTCCTGAAATGGCCGTGTAAGAAACATCTTTGAGCATTGGGTGATGACTATTTTCCGTCTTTCTTGCGAGGCATGGTCTTTCTCAAGAAAGAAAGAGATTGTGTGCTCAGAGGTCAGGTTTGCGGAAAGAGCAGGGTATGCTGGACTCCTGAAGAAGAGGCCGTGACCTCGTGGCCTGAGGGGTAAAGGCGGGTGCAGCTCCCGCCAGGGCTGTCCAGCCGGGGGTGGAAGGAGGGGCTGCCCTCATCCCCTGTGGCCAGGCCAGAGGAGCCAGGAGACTAAGTGGCCTTGTTCCTTCCACCCGTCAAGTCCTGCCAGTGTCTCCCACTGGGCAGACTCACCTGGATTCCGGAAGATGAGTGAGCTGCCAGCAGCAGGGCTGGGGAGAAGGCAGGGGAGAGGCCAGGGCAGGACTAAAGGGCAATGAGGACACGTGTGTCTGTTAGGATTTTTAAAACATCTTTTGTCCAGTCCACGAGAAAGTCACTTGTCCCCAAAACAAGAGCTCCACAATATCCCATCACCTACTGTGTGATACGGGATGATGTTGGTTCGGTAACACCTGAAACTTAAAATGTTAGCTACCCCAGTGATCTTCATCTATGGAGAATAAGTGGGAGAAGAGAAGCAACAAAATACCGTAAAACATAACTGCTGTAGCCCCAGCTTCCAGAGCTGATTCTGAAGTCTGAATTGTTAGTTAACTTACTGCTCTAATGCCATGTTCCCCTGGCCTCTGCCACCACTGCAGATACATGGTTTGTATCCACTGTTGAGGTGACCTGAGCCGTCATTCTCATAGGACCTGAGACCTTGGTATTGCGTCTGTGCTGGAGTGCCAAGGTGTGGGTGAACTGGGACTGCCCAGTGCCCAGATAGTTCTCTTTGCCTGTGTGAGGAAGCAGCAACCCACTTCCGACCGAGAATTCATATCAGCCATCTCAATTCATCAAAAAAGAGTAGAGGGATTCTTGTTTTCTGCTTGATGGTCACAAGGTGTGGGGAGCTTCCCATGGCCAGGGAGTATCTCAGCTTCCAACAAAATGCTGACGCCTGATGTGATACCTTGGTCCTTGTCCTCTTGGTTTAAGAGAATTTAAACAAAAGACACAGCAAAAGAACTGCAGCACAGAGTATTGCAAGAGAAAAAGAATGCTTTGAAAGTTAAGTGCAGAATAGACAGTATACCCTGAGAGAGAGAGAGAATTCAGGATGGGCTGCTCATAAGGATGAGACAGCAAAGACCAGCACCACAGAGGTTCCCTTTGTGGGAGTCTTACATGATTGTTCATAAGGAGGTGAAGTGTTGTTAGTGAGGTTGCTCTGAGTGGTCCTCTGGGTGCACGTGTGTAGTAGCTGTACATGCTTATTCATATATTGCATGTCTCATTAGTATCTTAAATCTCCACCCAGGGATATGTTTTTTGCTATTAAAATGAGCAAAGGGTCAGTCTGAGGAAGGTACAGTCAAGGTGCACAGTCCCTCTAGAGGGGAAAGCCCCTGCTGAAGGTAGCTTTGCTGGAATGAGCTATCATGATGCAAATGCTGAGGCTTACTGTGTCAACTGCATGGCCGCTGTGGTTGCCACATCCTGAGGACATGGTCACTGCCTTGACTGTCTAGCCTGCCTCAGGTAATAATGGTAATGGTACCTTTATGAGTTGCGTTTCCTTGGATATTAGGACCTGCAAATCCACTGAGCTCAAGATTATTAAGATGAGACAAAACATTCCTGAGTGTAGTAATAAGGGAGGTCACTGGGTGTGGTCCTGAGGGAGGGGGTGCTCCTATCTCTATCTTTTGTTTCCCACACCGACACTTCCCAGTGAGCTGTGACGGAGATAGTAACAGTTATTAGCCATTTGTTTAAGAATATACTCCGTGCTGTAGGGTGGCACCCCAACTTTGCGGACTTTTGGATTGCAGCAAATAGTACCTCTGAAGCCTCAGCTTCAGAAGTCAGCTGCTGCTGGGTGATGGAGCACGTGGTACAGCCAGTGAGTTCTGGTGTGACACACTGCCTTCACCAGGAACGAGCTCCTTGTGACAGGAATGGAGTGAGAAGCCAAGGACTGGAAAAGGAATTTGTATGTCAGTGAATGTTGGGGCTGCGTGAAACTGTGAGAAAGAAAAGGGAATCCTTATCTGTAAAATGTATTTATTTCCAACCTAATCATGAGAGCCCTTATGTGGGGCTCTTAGTGACTAGATTTCGCCTTCCTGTAATTTCCTCTTCTTCAGGTCCTCAACTTAATCACATCAGCAAAGTCCCTGTTGTCTTGTGCATTTAGCTCCTATTTCTGCACAAATTAACACAAATTTAGTGGCTTAACCCAAATTTATTCTCTTACAGTTTTGGAGGTCAGAAATCTAAATTCAGTCTATTAGAGAGGGCTGTGTTAATTCTGGAGGCTTCAGATGAAAACAATATGATTTTTCTTCTTTAGCCTTTTGATATGGTAGACTACACTGAGTAATTTTCAAGTATTGAGCCAACCATGCATACCTGAAATAAATCCACTTGGTCATGGTGTATAATTATTTTCACAGATTCATGGATTCAGTTTGCAACATTTTGTTGGGGATTTTTTGTCTTAAGTTCATGGATATATTGATCTAAAGCTTTCTTTCTTTATACTAGCTATGTCTGATTTTGGTTTCATAAAATGAGTTGGAAAGTGTTCCTTCCTGTTTTATTTTCTGGAAAAGTTTATATAGAATTGATGCTAGTTGTTTACAAGTTCAGTAGAAACTTTTTGTTGTTTAAAGTTTTCCAGGATAATTTTGCTAAGATATTAATGTGTATTTTTAGCATGGCAAAAAATGCAAATAATAGCAACCCTTCTGTTCATAAATATCCCTTCAGGTGAAAACATTGGAAATCACAATGATATAAATGTGACCCAAATAAAGCCCAAGTATTTTTGAACGCATTTATTAATTTTACTTACCGTATGATGCATAATTCAATGTTTAGTTCAGTTGCTAAATTAAATTATTCATTATTAGTGAAACTTCAGAATAAATTATTAGTCTGTTCTCACGCTATTGATAAGGATATACCCAAGACAGGAAAGAAAAAGAGATTTAATGGATTTACAGTTCCATGCGGCTGGGGAGGCCTCACAATCATGGCAAAAGACAAAGAGAAGCAAGTCACATTTTACATGGATAGTGGCAGGCAAAGAGAGAGCTTGTGAAGGAAAACTGTTTTTTCCACCATTGGATATTCTGAAATTCATTCACAATCACAAGAACACTGCAGGAAAGGCCACCCCATAATTTAATCACCTCCCACCATGTTCCTCTCATCTTTTGTGGGAATTGTTGGAGTTGCAATTCAGATGAGATTTGGGTGGAGACATAGCCAAACCATATCATCCCACCCTTGGCCCCCCATAAATCTAATGCCTTTGCATTTCAAAACCAATCATGCCTTCCCAACAGTCCCCCAGTCTTAACTCATTTCAGCACCCAAAAGAACATAGTCCAATGTCTCACTGAGACAAGTCCCTTCCACCTATGAGCCTGTAAAATAAAAAAAAACAAGTTAGTTACTTCCTCGATACGATGGGCGTACAAGCATTAGGTAAATACAGGCATTCCAAATGGGAGAAATTGCCCATGCAAGTCCTAAATCCAGGGGGCAGTCAAATCTTAAAGCTCCAAAATGATGTCCTTTGACTCCATGCCCCACATCCGGGTCATGCTGATAAAGAGGTGGCTTCCCCTGGCCTTGGGCAGCTCCACCCTGTGACTCTGCAGGGCACAGCCTCCCTCCTGGCTGTCTCCATGGGCTGGTTGAGTGTGGAGTGTCTGCGGCTTTTCCAGGTGCAAGTGCAAGCTGTTGGTGGATCTACCATTCTGGGGTCTGGAGGACGATGGCCCTCTTCTCACGGCTCCACTAGGCGATGCGCAGTAGGGACTCTGGGTGGGAGCTCTGACCCCACATTTTTCTTCTGTACTGCCCTAGCAGAGGTTCTTCATGAGGGCCCTGCCCCTGCAGCAAACTTCTCCTGGACATCCAGGTGTTTCCATACATTATCTAAAATCTAGGTGGAGAGTTCCAAACCTCACTTCTTGACTTTTGTGTACCCACAGGCTCAACAGCATGTGGAAGCTGCCAAGGCTTGGGGCCTCTACCCCCTGAAGCCACAGCTCGAGCCCTACTTTGCCTCCTTTTAGCCATGACTGGAGTGGCTGGATGTAGGGCACCAAGTCCTTAGGCTGCAGAGAGCAGGGGGGCCCTGGGCCTGACCCAGGAAACTATCTTTTTCTTTCTTTCTTTTTTTTTTTTTTGAGACAGAGTTTCACTCTTGCTGCCCAGGCTGGAGTGAAATGGCATGATCTCTGCTCACCACAGCCTCTGCCTCTGAGGTTCCAGTGATTCTCCTGCCCCGGCCTCCTGAGTAGCTGGAATTACAGGCACAGGCCACCACACCCGGATAATTTTGTGTTTTTAGTAGAGATGGGTTTATCCTTGTTAGTTGGGCTGATCTCGACCTCCCGACCTCAGGTGATCCCCTACCTTGGCCTCCCAAAGTGCTGGGATTACCGGCGTTAACCACTGCACCTGGTGGAAACCATCTTTTACTTTTAGGCCTCTGGGCCTGGGATGGAAGAGGCTGCCAAGAAGACCTCTGACATGTTCTGGAGACATCTTTCCCATTGTCCTGGGAATTAACATTCGGCTCCTCATTACTTATGCAAATTTCTGCAGCTGGCTTAAATTTTTCCTCAAAAAATGAGATTTTTTATTCTATTACATTGTCAGGCTGCAAATTTTCTGAACTTTTATGCCCTGTTTTCTTTTTAAAACTGGATACCTTTAACAGAACCCAAATCTCGAATGCCTTGCTGCTTATAAATTTCTTTCTTTCTTTCTTTTTGTGAGGATTCTTCATCTGAAAAACCATCATGGAAAATTGTTTGGTTTAGCTCTCAGAAGCTCACCCCTGAGCTCCAAGGAAGCTTGCATTATTTTGAGCCACTCAGTTTTTCTTTCGAGCAAGCAACATTTTGGGACAGTTCCATTTCTTCTTAAATTTTTTCTTGGGCTTCTTTTCTTAGACTGGATTCTCTTGTATAGCAGCATGAGCTTTCTTATACGTCTCCTCCATCATGCCTGGTGTTACACTGCTCTTCATGTATTGAAAGCACTGTTTCTTAGAAGCATCTTCATCTTCCTCCATTAAGCAGCACATGTAATCTGCAACATTCTGGTCCGTGATGTGCTTCTGGTGTACTTCTGCATTAAATTCGTTGCTTTCAGAATCTTAACCAGGGAATCATTTGCTACGGTGAGGGATAGACAAGCCTGTATCTACAGCTGTCTTTAGGGCACCAAAACTTTATTGCCACTGGCAGTTGTGGCAAGGCCTGCATCCATATAGCAGGCAAAGGCACCCGGCTGACCATCAATGGTTTCCACATTGTGTTCATCCCCAGTCTCCACTTGTAGATCTTTTCCATGCCAGACCTGTTGAGAAGCCTGCAGGCCAGCAGCAGGCCAGCACAATACACTGCAGCATCATTGGTCAGGCCAACCTTCGCACCGTATTTTGGCAGTTCACGTGCATATGCTGTGCATACCATCACATTCCCTTCCGTACGGGCATAAGCAATGTGACAAATAATATCTCTGTGTTACACAAACTATCATCCTGTATTTGGGTATGCTGTGTTTATTTTTATCCTGTATCACCAAGCGCGGTACTCAATTTACCTTCTGGTCATTTTCTAAAATTTCACTTGTTATCTCTTAAAGTAGACTTTGTTTTTAACAACTTTAACAAACTGCATGCTGCAGAACAGAGACCCTCATCCATGGCTCAACAGTGACCTGCCATGCTTAGAAGTTTCTTCCTCCAGATACACTAAATCATCTCTTTCAAGTTCAAAGTTCCACAGATCTCCAGGGAAGGGGCAAAATGCCACCAGTCTCTTTGCTAAAGCATAAGAAGAGTCACCTTTGCTCTCAACAAGCTCCTCATGTCCATCTGAGACCATCTCAGCCTGGACTTTATTGCCCATATCACTATCAGCATTTTGGTCAAAGCCATTCAACAAGTCTCTAAGAAGTCCCACACTTTCCCACATTTTCCTGTCTTCTGAGTCCTCCAAACTGTTCCAGCCTCTGCCTGTTACTCAGTTCCAGAGTTGCTTCCACATTTTTGGCTATCTCTTCAGCAATGCCCCACTCTGCCGGTACCAATTTACTGTATTAGTCTGTTCACACACTGGTAATAAAGACCCGTCAGAGACTAGGTTCTGGGTCCAGTGACATGTCACAAGCAGCCTTTGTGGCAGGTTTCAGTCAAAAAAGGAGAGTCACAACACCTGGGTGATATGTACACAGATAGGTCCTATTGTTTCCTATAGGCAGGACCCAGCAAGGCAAATTACATCACCTACAGAAGACCCAGAAGTTTATTCATTTCTCTAAGTCTAACTACAAGTGCCAGCATCTCTCCTGTTGGCTGGTTTGTGGTATGAGCATCATCATCACAACTCTGAGCTGTGCTAAAGTTTGTGTCACAATCCAACCTTAAATATGCAAGGTCCGGGCAAAAGGTGAGAGTGACATCATCTAGGTGCTGGGTGCACAATCCTTTTGTGGCAGGGTGCAGGCTGAAGACGAGTCACATGACCTTTGGGCTGGGACCAGGTGCAAATGTCAAGTCACTCAGGTTCTGGACAGAGGCGTATGTCACAGTCACACATCACTTGGGTGAAAGGCCCAGCCATATGTCACAGTGCCACCTGTGGGCAGCACCAAGGCTGGACAAGAGTCACATCTTCCAGGCGTAGAGTCAAGCAATACGTCACAATCTCATCTCTGGGCTGGGCCAAGGCAGAAGAGTCGAATCACTAAGGTGTGATCGTATGGTGACTGTCTCCTCCCTCCACATTTCAGGGCCCTGTTCTTTCCTTCAAAAAGGTCACCAGGTCTAGCTTACAGACATCAAGACCCAGAGATCGAGTTTCTGTCCTCTGAAATCACATCTCCATACAAATTCTCCTAAGCAGGATTCCAGTGTTTCCACTCCTCCAGAGAGAATTCTCTGGCCACATTCCTGAATGTAAATGGTTTCATTTCCCAGCTTTCAAGATGTCCTGGCATCTTAGCTATGCATCTCCCAGTACCTGCAGATCACAGGGCAACAGAGGCTGTGACAGTCACTGGGGGCCCCAGAGGTGGTGAACATGTTACAGCGAGGATGAGTCCCAAGCTCTGGCAGGAGCAGGAGGCAAAGGCCCAGTAGAATTTTCTAGTGAAACCATGAATCTGGAAACTTTTTTATAAAGAAACTTTCAAATTAAGAAATCGAATTCTTTAATGGCTAAAGGGCTTTTCAGATTATCTGTTTTATGTGTGTTTTGATATTTTGTGATTTTTGAGGAATTGGTTTGTTTCTTTTTAGTTGCCAAATTTTTGAGTGTAAAGTTGTTGATAATATTCCTTTATTATCATTTTAATGTCTAAAATATATGTAGTAACATTTTTTTTTCATTCCTGATATTGGTGATTGTGTCTCTCTCCTTTTATTTTTCGTCAGTCTTGTTAGAAGTTTGTAAATTTTACTGATTTTACCCAAAGAAACAGCTTTTTTCTCCTTTGATTTTCGTTAGTATTGTCCTATATTAACTCTATAGATTTCTTCTATGATCTTTATTTTTTCCTTGAGCTTTCTTTTGATGCATTTTACTCTTTCTTGGCTAGTGTTTTTGAGGTAGGAATTTAGATTACTGATTTGATATTTCCTTGCTTTTCCAGTGTTAACATTTAGTGTTAAACAGTTTTATTGCACTTCTATTTCAGTTGCATCCTATATGTTTTTATGTGTTGTATTTTCATTAAAATTCAGTTCCATATATTTTAAAATTTACTTGGAGACCTCACAAACTATTGACTGTTTAGACTATTTAGAAGTATGTTGGTTAATTTCCATGCATTTAGAGATTTTACTACTGTCTTTCTGTTAGTTTCTAACTTTATTCCATTATAGTTGAAGAACATACTCTGTATGACTTTATTTTTTTACGTTTGTGGGATTTTTGTTTTGTGACTCGGAATATGATAGATCTTGGTAAATCTTTCATGGGAACTTGGAAAAAACTGTATTCTCCTGTTTTGGGGTGGAGTGTTTTATATATGTGAATTAAATCCCTTTGGTTCAGTGCTATTCATTTCTTCCATATTTTAAATTATTTTTGATTTAACATTTCTATTAGTTTCTGAGAGTGAGTTATTTCTGTTCACAGTGATAAACATAATTTTGTTTTTTCTTTCAGCTCTAGCAGTATTTTGCTTCATATATTTTGCTGCTCTGTTGTTTGGTGCATAGATATTTAGGATTGTTACATCTTCCTGGTGGATTGACTAGTTATCATTATTTAATAATTTTCTTTCCCTCTAGTAATTTTCTTTACTTTGAAGTCTACTTAGCTCATATTAATATGCTCAATTACTGCACAATTTACAGAAGAAAGAAGTTTAACAGACTTAAAGTTCAACATGGCTGGTGAGGCCTCACAATCATGGCAGAAGGCAAGGAGGAGCAAGTCACATCTTACATGGATGGCAGCAGACAGAGAGAGAGAGAGAGAGAGAGAGAGCTTGTGGAGGGAAACTCTCATTTTTAAAACTATCAGATCTCGTGAGACTTGTTCACTATCACAAGAACAGCTGGGAAAAACAAGCCCCATGATTCAGTTATCTCCCATAACATGTGGGAATTATGGGAGCTACCAGATGAGATTTGGGTGGGGACACAGAACCAGACCGTCTCAGGCTCCAAACCATTTTCCTCTCCTCTTACTACCTTTCAGGATTCTCCTTTAGTTGCCTCTCTGCTTTATTCCCTGGGGTTATAGTTGTGCTTGGCAGGAGTAAGCAGAGAGTTCAGGGCCTATATCATTTTGTCTGGACTGAAAGTTCCCTGGAATTGCCCATTTGTTTATTTTTAATCTCTGTCATTTTGTTTTTAGTTTGTTTCTGGTAGAGAGTATATAACTGGACCTAATTTTAAAATATTCACTGTTGTGCCTTATATTCGATATATTGCATTTCCTTGATACTTCCTCTTCCCATGTGCTGATGTTGTATAAATTGTTAAAGTTTTTTTGTGTCTAGTTTTTCAGTGTTTTGAAGTTACAAATAATAGCTACATTCTCTTGTTAGCTTAAAAATTTACAAAATCACATTTAAGCCTGTCTTTATAAACACTAGGAATGAAACAAGAATTTCCATGTGTTTTAGGGTTCTTCTAGAGATTAAGGAGCTTTATTGGCTTCTCAGTAGGCTTTTGCTTTGAGAATCTTGAATGAGACACTGCTTCCTCTTTTTCCTTGTGATGCTGAAAAGTTAGACCTAAAGGGCAGCTTGGATTATTTGGTGTTTTAGATAGTGGCGTGTTGTCCTTGTTTCACTTGGAATAAAATCCAGAGCCTCAACCATGCCTTATAAAGCCACTAATGACCTGGCTGCAGCTACCACTTACACTTGATTTCCTGCCACAGGGGGGCTGGACCCCAGACACAGAGGCCTTCTTGCTGGGTGAATGTGCATCTGTACCTGTTGCCTCCACTGGGGAGGCTCTTCCCGAGCGTGCTGGCAGCTGGTTCACCTCTCTAGTAGACACTAAGACTCAATATCCATCCTCAGGGTGGCCTTTCCTGGCCCCGCAGAAGGAGTTCTTCCATCATTGCTGGCTCCTTTCCTGTGTTCCTTTTCTTCCAACAGATTATCATCTATGATACATTGAAATAATGCTCTAATATATACGTGTGGCAAATATATGACTATATCAAGTTTTTCTCTGTCTCTTTATAAGGAGCAGACTCTAAGTTCCAGAGATCAGCAAATGTGTGTCTGTCTTGGTCATTCTGGAATCCTCAGTGTTCCTGACAGTGCTGCCAGATAGTAAGCACTCAATACTTGTCAAACAAATAAAGAAGTGAGTGGAGACTGAGCAGTGTGGGATGTTGGCTCATGAGAACTGCACGTTTGTGAAACGCATGTACTTATGTTTAGAAGTCAAACCGTGTATCAAGAGGTGTGACAGTCATTCATCATAATTTTCACAGGTTCTGTGTGGAGTGATTCTCAGATGGATTCATCTAAGAAGGCTTCTTGTGAGGATATTTTATCAGAATCTTAAGCTGAAAAAAAGAGAAAAAGATAGCTGTGTTATTTCTCAGTGGTGTTAGGAAGCTTTGGGGATTTCTTGGTTCCTAAGCGATGAATTCTCCATACAGGCCTGCTCATGTGTTGTGTTCATTTCCTCCTTTGGGTGTGAAGGGGTTTTGGAAAGCCTTCCCATGGGTCTGGATTCATTTGTGTCTCTTCCAATTGGACATCTTTAGCCATGCCAAGACACTGTCATTGAAAGTAAGAATAGTGCTAATGTTAGGCAGGATAAAGGCTCTAATGTATAGGTTGCATATAATAATTTTGTGTACATAGTTGAGAATTTGCCAAGTTCTAAATCAGCCTTCCCTTCTGCCTTCCTAGTCCTCCTTGGCTATCCATCATCCTCTGGTGTGTGTTATTTTTCAATATTAGTTACTTTTACTCATAAACTATAGGGCTTATAACGTAAAAGTCATGTAGCTTTTATATTCTCCACTGTCTTGAGAAATGTTAAGATGTGAGAAATGACAGAATGTAAGAGAGTGAAAGAAAGTTCATTCACTGCAAAAGTTAATCACAGGAATGCTGGCGAAGGTCACTATTGCCCTCATGTGCTCTGCCCCACAGAGGCAGAGTGCCCACCAATTTGTGCAGTCTCCAAGCTCATGGACACCAATGACTAATTCTTCTTGCTTTTGGAGAAATAAACAACAAGAAGGGAAAGCCCTCTCTTAGCAGTAAAACTAAACAAATGAGAACACGAAAACAAAACTAAACAACAACAACAAAAAACATATCACGACCAAAATCCCCCCAAAATAAAATTTTATTTTATTCTTTTTATTTAGTGCTTTTCTATAATGATTCAAGTCACTTCTAATGTCTCTTTTTCATGGAGTATAAAAATAGGATTAGTTTTTAAATTAAAGGTGATTCTAAAAGGGTCTCTGATTCCAATGTGAATGAGCTTTAAGTTAAAAAAAAAATCCAGAAGATTAAAACCAAATCCAGAGTTTACATATGTTAACATTGACAGTATTTAGGAAAGAGTACCAAAGGACTCTGCACAAAGAATAAGAAAAAATGCAATAAATTCCCAAGGGAAAAAGACAATCAACAGATACCAAACCTGAAAGGACCCAGATATTGAAATGACTAAACAATTTAAAGCATCTTTTATAACTACAATCAATAAGGTAAAGAAAATGCACTTGGAATGAATGGAAAGATGGGAATTCTCAGGGGGGAATAGAAATTATATCAGAAAATCTAATAACGAAGGTTAGAAATTAAAACTATAACACCTTATTTAAAAAAAGTTGATTGTTGGGTTCAGTAGTGGAATGACTATGACAGAGAAAAGAGTCAGTTAACTGACATAGATCCGTGTAAATCATGCAATCTGAAGAACTTAGAGAAATTTTTCTTTTACATTTCCAGAGCTTATAAAGCTGTGGAATAAGAGCAAAAATTGGAGTTTCACTCAAGAATAAGAAACTTGCTCAAAACCACACAACTACATGGAAATTGAACAACCTTCTGCTGAATGACTCCTGGGTAAATAATGAAATCAAGGCAGAAGTCAAGAAGTTCTTTGAAACCAAAGAGAACAAAGAGAATCTCTGGGATGCAGCTAAAGCAGTGTTAAAAGGGAAATTTGCAGTACTAAATGCCCACATCAGAAAGCTAGGAAGATGTCAAATGGACACACTAAGCTCACAACTAAAAGAACTAGAGAACCAAGAGCAAACAAACCCCCAAATTAGCAGAAGACAGTAAGTAACCAAGATCACAGTGAAGCTGAAGGAACTAGAGAGAGGAAAAGAAAACCCTTCTAATAATCAGTGAATCCAGGAGTTGGTTTTTGAAAAAAATAAAAAAAAATAGACTGCTAGCTAGACTAGTAAAGAAGAAAAGAGAAAAGAATCAAATAGGCACAACAGAAAATGATAAAGGGGATATCACCACTGACCACAAGGAAATACAACCATCAGAGAATACTATAAACATCTGTATGTGAATAAGCTAGAAAATCTAGAAGAAATAGATAAATTCCTGGACACATACACCCTCCCAGGACTGGAACATAGAAGAAGTTGAATCCCTGAATAGACCAATAACAAGTTCTGAAATTAAGGCAGTAATGAGTATTTAACAGTCTACCAATAATAAAAAGCCCAGGATCAGAGGATTTACAGCTGTATTCTACCAGAGGTACGAAAAGGAGATGCTACCATTTTTTTCTGAAACAATTCCAAACAATTAAAAGGAGAGACTTCTCCCAAACTCATTTTATGAGGCCATCATCATCCTGATACTAAAACCTGGCAGAGATACAACAAAAAAGAGAAAACTTCAGGCCAATATCCCTGATGAACATTGATGCAAAAATCCTCAATAAAATACTGGCATACTGAATCCAGCAGCACATCAAAAAGGTTATCCATCACAATCAAGTCAGCCTCATCCTCAGGGCGAAAGGCTGGTTCAACGTCTACAAATCAATAAACGTAATCCATCACATAAACAGAACCAAAGACAAAAAAACTACATGATTATCTCAATAGACACAAAAAAGGCCTTTGATAAAATTCAACATCCTTTCATGTCCAAAACTCTCAATAAACTAGGTATTGATGGAACATATCTCAAAATAATAAGAGCCATTTATGAAAAACCACAGTGAATATCATACTGAATGGGCAAAAGCTGGAAGCATTCCCATTGAAAACTGACATAAGACAAACATGCTCTCTCTCACCACTCCTATTCAACATAGTATTGGAAGTTCTGGCCAGGGCAGTCAGGCAAGTTATTTCAATAGGAAGAGAAGAAGTCAAACTGTCTCTGTTTGCAGATGACATAATCCTATATCTAGAAAACCCCATCCTTTCAGTCCCAAAGCTTTTTAAGCTGATAAACAACATCAGCAAAGTCTCAGGATACAAAAACAATGTGCAAAAATCACAAGCACTCCCACACCAACAATACACAGGCAGAGAGTGAAATCATGAATGAACTTCCATTCACAATTGCTGCAAAAGAGAATAAAATACCTAGGAATACAGCTAACAAGGGAAGTGAAGGACTTCTTTAAGGAGAACTACAAATCACTGCTCAAGGAAAACAGGGAAGGCACAAAGGAATGGGAAAACATTCCAGGCTCATGGATAGGAGGAAGAATCAATCTTGTGAAAATGGCCATATTGTCCAAAGAAATTTATAGATTCAATGCTATTCCCATTAAACTACCACTGACATTCTTCACAGAAAATACTTTAAAATTAATATGGAACCAAAAATGAAGATGTATAGCCAAGATAATCCTAAACAAAAAGAACAAAGCTGGAGGCATCATGCTGCCCAGTTTCAAACTATACTACCAGGCTACAGTAACCAAAACAGCAATGTACTAGCACAAAAACAGGCATATAGACCAATGGAACAGAATAGAGATCTCAGAAGTAAGACTGAACATCTACAACCACCTGATATTCAGCAGACCTGACAAAAGCAAACAATAGGGAAAGGAGTCCCTATTTAATAAATGGTGCTCGGAAAACTGGCTAGCCATATGCAGAAGATTGAAACTGAACCCCTTCCTTACACCTTATACAAAAATTGACTCAATGTGGATTAAAGACTTAAATATAAACCCCCAAATTACAAAAACCATAGAAGAAAATCTAGGCAATACCACTCATAATATAGGCACAAACAAAGATTTCATGACAAAAATATCAAAAGCAATTGCAACAAAAGCAAAAACTGACAAATTGGATCTAATTAAACTCCAGAGCTTCTGCACAGCAAAAGAAACTGTCATCAGAATGAACAGACAACCTACAGAATGGGAGAAAATTTTTGCACTCTGTCCATCTGACAAAGGTCTAATATCCAGAATCTACAAGGAACTTAAATTTGCAAGAAAAAACCAACAACCACATTAAGAAGCAGGCAAAGGACATGTACAGACACTTCTCAAAAGAAGACATTTATGCAGCCAACAAACTTTAGAAAAAAGCTCAACATCACTAATCATTAGGAAAATGCAAGGCAAAACCACAATGAGATCTCAAATCAGTCAGGATGGCAATTATTAAAAAGTCAAAAAACAAACATGCTGGTGAGGCTCTGGAGAAAATAGGAACGCTTTTACACTGTTGATGTGAATGTAAATTAGTTCAATGATTGTTGAAGACAGTGTGGCGATTCCTCAGAGACCTAGAACCCAAAATACCATTTGAGCCAGCAATCCCATTGCTGGGTGTATACCCAAAGGAATACAGGTTATTCTGTTTTAAAGATACATGCACACATATGTTCATTGCAGCACTATTCACAATAGCAAAGACATGAAATCAACCCAAATACCCAACAGTGGTAGACTGGATAAAGAAAATGTGGTACAGATACACCATGGAATACTCTGCAGCCATAAAAAAGAACAAGATCATGTCCTTTTCAGGGACATGGCTGGAGCTGGAAGCCATTAGCCTCAGCAAATTAGCACAGGAACAGAAAACCAAGCTCTGCGTGTTTTCATTTATAAGTGGGAGCTGAACAATGAGAACAATGGACAAAGGGAGGAGAACAACCCACACTGCGTCCTGTCAGGGGAGAGAGGGAGAGGGAGAACATCAGAATAAAAAGCTAATGCATATGGGGCTTAATACTTAGGTGATGGGCTGATAGGTGCAGAAAACCACCATGGCACGCGTTTACCTATGTAATAAACCTGTACTTCCTGTACATGTGTCCTGAAACTTTAAAAAAGAATAAATATATTGAAATATTAAAAACAATTGGAGTTTCAGAGAAGAGGAGCAAGAGATAAAGAGAAAAAGATATTTTAAGATGTAATGACAGAGAATTATCAATCTTGCAAAGATAAGTTTACAATTTCATGAAATTCAGTGAAAACACGGGATGAAATAAAGGAAACTCTGCCTAGACACACCATAATCATATTGCTAAAAACTAAATATGAGAGTAAATTCTTGAAAACAGTGAGAGAAGAGTGATACATGACATACAATGGATTGTGATTTGAATGACTGTAAATTTCTCATCAGAAATCCTGGAGGCAAGTAAATAGTGGAGCACCTTCTTTCAGCGCTAAAAAAAAATCTTTCAATCCAGAATTCTCTATCAGCAAAATAATCCTTCAGGAATAAAGGCAAAAAAGAGAGAGATTCTCAGATGAAGGAAATGACTAGAATTCATTTCCAACAGATTTGTTCTATTAGATGTGTTAATGGAATTTCTCCAGGGAAGAAAAATGATGCTACAAAGAAATTACATCTTTAGGGATGAAGAAAAACAGAACTGGTAAATAGTAGGTAAGTGTAAAAGTTAACTTTTTTCCCCCTTAAGTTCTTCAAAATGTGTTTGATGGTTGAAAGTATAAATTATAATATTGTCTGGTGGGAGTTTTAATGTGTATAGATATAATTTGATACCTATACCATAGTGGGAAATGGGAGAGGTAAAGTGATCTATATCATTTCAAGGCTTTAAATAGACTGTAGAGAAGTTACGTATGTATATTTTTAATCCATGGAGTAAGTACTAAAAATATAAAATATCATTAATTAAAATATACATAACATTTAAGATTTAATAATAAATATTGTTATTATTAAAATCCAACTGATGAAAATAAAATAATATTCAAGTAATCCAAAAGAAAGCAAGAAAATGAGCACAGAAATGAATTTAAAAAATGAGACAAACAAAATAAATGATAATTTTGTTGACCTGAATGCAACTATATTAATAATTATGTTAACTGCAACCATTCCCATTAAGAGG